CCGCCCGGGCGCCCCGCCCCGCCCGCCCGGCCCCCCTCGTCACCCCAAACCCGGGCGCCCGGCCAGGACCTCCCACTGCCCGGAGCCGACCTCCCAGCGCTCCGCCTGGAGCGGGCTCCCTCTGCCCTCGAGCCCTGGACTGGCAGCTCAGGCTGACCAGCGCCCGCGGCGGGTGGCCTGACCAACCAGTCCGGCCAGTGTCCCGAGCTGAGACCTTCTCCCCCTCATTCTGACCAGGGGCCTTGGAGACTCCTTCCCACTATGGCCAGTGGCTTGTCCTTGCCTGGTTGATTTTACCCAGCTGAACCCTGTCTAACCAGTGACCTGCACTGGCCTCTCCCAGTACAACCAGTGGCCCCCAGCCTGATCAGTGGTGTGAATGAGCCTCCTGCAGAATAACCAGTGAACCCCAGTCTAATCAGTGGCTTGGGTTGGGCTTTCCCAGTCCGCCCAGTAACTGTGAGCCTGCCCAGTGGTCTAGAATAGCTTCTCCCAGTTTGCCCTGTGAGGCCCTCCCCTATGGCCAGTGCTCTGGGCTCCTTTCCTGTCTGACCAGTAGCCTGGAACCCACCAGTTCAATCTCTTATATCTAATAGTCTTCAAACCCCAGCTCTGCCCAGGCCTTTGTGATGATGGGGGTGCTGCGGGGTGCTCTTTCCTTGGCTCTGCTCTGTAGGGCCCTCCCTCTCTTCCCCTCAACCAGAGAATCCCAGGAATGCCACCCCCTTCCTCTTTCCCTCCCCCCTTCGCTCCCTCCCAACTTTGGGGGAGGGGAGGAAAATCCGGCTGGCAGAAGCAGGTGAGTGGGGGAGGGGAGAAGGCCTGGGTACCTGAGAGGACGGGGAGGGGCTTGGCCATGGGTCAGAAGAAAAGGTCACAGGTCAGACTGGGAGTCAGAGGTCAGACTGCCTGAGGCTTCTCACAAGCCGGGTCCGACTAGGACAAAATCCCCAGACTGCCGGCCAGGGGCTTGCTGGGGGAGGGAGATGTCACTGGTTACTGGAGAGAAGCTAGCCCTGGACACCGGTCAGAATGAGGGGTAGCTGATCCTGCTGGGAGAGTTTCCCCAGGCCTCTGATCAGACTTGGGGGTCACTGGTAAGACTGGGCCTTGCCCATCAGACACAGAGGGAAGGTTTAGATTATAGGTCAGCCTGGAAGTTATTGGTCAGACTTGTCAAATCAATTTATCCATCGGTGATACAGGAGAGCAACTATTACACTGGGGGAGGTGATCTTTGAGTATTAGCCGCACCATCCCCTCTTCCAGGACGCCCTCCCTGCGTCCCTAGGCTGGGCCAGGCACCCCTCTGGGCTCCACCACCCCAGCCCAACCCAGAGATGACTCTGGGTCATCTCTAACTGGGAACAGATCTCCCTCCCCCTGTCACAGGACACACGATCCCAGCTCACTCTGGGACAACGGCAGTCGCACTCCTACACAGCCCCACACGCTCCCTGGAACAAGCCGCCACACTGCGACCCCAGACACCCACCCCCCAGCTCTTCCGTGCCTACTGATTGGGCCGGACCCTGGCAGGCGCCCTCTTCTCAGCCACCCGCCTTCCACCTTCCTCAAGAACCCAACCAGCTGAGGTTCTAGTTGGGAGAGGACCATACGGAGTGTGGGTGAAGGAGTGAAGTCATAGATATCAGCCACGGTCCCTCACAGACCTGCAGAAACTAGTCCCGTAACATCCTCTGCCCTTGTCCCCTGCAGTTTATTCCTAGGAAACAGGCAGAGGGATCCTGTTCAAATGTGACTCAACTCACATCGCTCTTCTGCTCAGAATCCTCCCACGGCTCCTCTCACTCAGAAATCCTGAGTGAAAAAGCGAAATCCTCTTCACGGCTCACAAGGTCCTCCATGTGGTCCTCGTCACCGCCCTGACCCCATCTTCCTCTCTTCCCCTTCGAGAGCTCTGCTGTTGCCACGTTGGTCTCTTTGCTTCCAGGCTGTTCCTCCCATGCCAGGCCTGTTCCAGCCTCCAGGCCTTTGCACTTCCTCTCCCCTCTGCTGGGAATCTCCCCCCCTCCCTTGCTTCAAACGTCTACCCCAACATCACATCATCAGAGCTTTCCTTGACCATCCCAGCCACGCCTCATTTCCCTTATCTTACTACGTTTTTCCTCTGCAGCACTTAGCACTGCCACAGATCTATTTTTTATTGTTTGTCTGGCACAGAAGCTAAGCTCTGTGGTTTTGTTCACTGTATCTCCAGTGCCTAGAACAGTGCTTGTCATGGGAGGAGCTGAGTAAAAAGGAAATGAATGAACTCTCCAATTCCATCCTTGCTGTCTCCTGTGTATATCCTCGTACGTTTCCATTAACAAGCCTCCTCTTTCCCCCGCTGCATCCCATTGTTTTACGTACAGCGTGTGACGGTTCACTTTAAAGCTAGTTCACAGCGTGTGGGATATGGGGCTCGTGACACATCTCGAGGGGACTGGCTGTTTCCCAATGGTTCCCGACTTGCATCTGGAAAATGTAACCGTTGAGACTTTGTGTTGTCTTGGGGGGCGGTGTGAATGCATTTTTGGTTTTACCAGCTAGTTGTGCAGGGCGAGTTTAGATAAGAACTTTTGGGGGAAAAGAATGTAGTATAGGACAAAGATATGTACTGATGTTGAGCATTCAAAGGGGAGGACAGGAGCGGCCTTTTTTGCGGGGGAGGGTAAGCTAGCATCCACGCGCCTTTCCCACATTTAGAAACATCCCTGGTGTCTGAAAGCCTGCTGCCCTCTGTTGAAGCCAACAAGGACAGATGTTTGCTTTCCTGCCTCTGTTGGAGCTAAGGTGACCTACGCTTGGCCAATTCTGCTATACTTTGGAACTGGGAGCTAATAATCCCAAAGAAGCAAGAACTGGCTAATCTGTTCCCACTATAGCAGCCAGGATGGATTCTATTTTCCCAAGATGGCAGCTACAAGATCTCTCATTCCACAGGCTCTTCTGCAATCTGATTGTGACACTCTTTCCCCCAAGAGGTGGGGTCTATGTCTCCTCCTCTTAAATCTGTGCGGTTTTGTGACTCGCATGTAACCAACGTGGCAGAAGTGACACTGCATGACTCCCCAGATTAGGTAGAAAAATCCATGTAGCTTCTGTCTGGGTCATGGGAATTCTCTCCAAAAAGACTTCAGCCACCATCTAAGCAGTCTGACTACCTTGAGGCAGCCACACCGTGGGGAAGCCCAAACCAGCAAGTGTGGAGACCCTACGGAGAGGTCTGCAGAGGGACACCTGTCCTGCCCCCAGCTGCCCAGCTCCAAGGACCACTTGATCACACCATTTGATTGCACCCTGAGCCAGAACCACCCAACTGAGCCCTTCCCCAAATCCTGGCCCCCAGCAACCACGAGGGATATTAACATGATTGCTGTTGTTCCCCAATAAGTCTTGGTGGGATTTGTTGGAGCAACAGCTAGCAGACACAGCCTATTTCTGGGGTAGCCGAGGCAGCAAGACAACGAGTGTCCAGTGGTCATCGGAGCACCAGCGTATCCTCATCAGACCGGTTCTGTGGCGTGATCGTGGCTGGGCTGTGGTTGGAGGCTGGCTGCCAGCGCTCTTGATCACTTTCCAATCCTGGTTCTCTAATCACTCCTGGGATTTTATGAGCGATCCTAAACCTTCTCAATCAATTTCCTTTTTGCCCCAGGGGCGGCTTCTGTTGCTTGGAACTAAATCTGTGATGCATGCTTCCATGCTCCATTTACCTTTCCTTATCTCTTCAGTCTCAGCCTGCACGTCCCCTCCTCCGGGAAGCCCTCCCTGACCTCTCAGCCTGGGTCAACTGCCCGCTCTGCGCTCCAGCAGCCCCCTGGGGTCCCCCATCCCAGCTCTGCCCACTCTGGATTGTCACTGTCTGGGGACAGGTCTGTCTCCTGCACTGGACTGTGAGCCCCACGAGGGCAGTGATCACTACCAAATGCCTAGCGTTGCCCAGCCCAGGGCACAGGGGGCCTAAGGGATGCCAACTGGTTTAAATCAAGTGGAGGGAGGCTTGGGTCCCTCTGGGATTAGCGAGGAGGTGGGGAGACACTTTCTCGCTTGATTTTGACTGGAAGTCACCATCACTCTGGGAGAAGATCCCAGAGAGGAATGGAGGAGAGAGAGAGGGACGAGAGCAGAGTATGGCAAGACTGGGCACCTAACCCTCAAGGAAATGTGGGGACTCTTTGACCGGGGGACTTAGAACTTGGATACCCGGGTCTGGGTCCAAGAATATTTTTGCCATGATGGGGAGAGGTTGTTGGACGCCTGATTCTCTGAGAGCTTGGGACTCTGGACTCCTAAGCCCAGAAGGTGGGACTTTTGGATCTGAGAGAGGAGGCGTCTGGGGGCCTGGACTCTGGATCCGAAGGAGCTGGGTCCCCACTCTTGGCTCTCTGACCCCCAGGCCTCTGGGTTAATCAGGTCTCCGGGATGCCCATTCCCGATGCCAAGCTGCCCCCTGGTGGCCACTGTCCCCTTTCTCCACACACCAGAGGACAGACCAGGCTTGGCAGTTTATTTCTGCTCCACAAACCCCTTCCAGCCCCTGGGGCTCCCTTTAGCAGCACATCTTGGTGCCCTGCGAGGCAGAAAGAGAGGTGGTTTAGATACTATCACATCCAAGTGGGTGGGGCAGGCAGGGCCAGGCCAAGGGAGGGAACCTGGGCTGGGCGGGGGACTCACCTGGCCTCCGGGCCTGGGCAGCGATCACGGGCCCCACAGGGGCAGCTGAAGGGGTGACTTTCCCTTTAGGAGTCTCTGCAAGGGGGAGAGTTTGAGGGGGACTCTGGATTTCCTAGGACCAGTGTTTCCCTTCCGCCCCTACCCCCTCTTCCCTCAGACCCAGAGTCCTGGACTCGGCTGCCCTCTCTACTTACTCTGTGGCTCCCTCCCCGGCCTGGGGGCTGGAGGTACTTTCCCACAGGGCCGAGGCCACAGTCCTAAATCTTGGCAAGGCAAGAGGAGCCCGGAGTCTGGGGAGGGCCAGAGGTGCCTGGAGAGGAGGAGATTAAGAAATTTCACAGCTGAGCTGCAGCTGTGCTTCACTTCACAGGCTCAGAGAGGGGTAACACAGTGGTGCCTGGGGCGTAGGGGAAAGACGTCCAGTATGATAGGGTCTTGTCCCCAGTCCATGCTGTTTTTTCCCTAACACTTCTGGCTTGAGTAGGAAGAAGTTTTAATTTGTTGGTCCATCCATTCATCCATCCATCTGTCCATTCATGCATTTACCCATCCATCCACCCATCTACTCATCCATCCATCTGTTAATCCATCCACCCACCCACCCATCCATCCATTCATCCATCCATCCATCCACCCCTCCATCCATCCACCCATCCATCCAT